CGTTGCACAATGGGACGAGGACATAAGCATTATTCTAAAAGTTTTACTTTCTCTCTAATGATGCACATTCTAACCACAGTCCGCTTACTTAGAGATTAATTTCAGAATTTTTAGATCTATTATTACGTCCTTTAACCCATTGTGTTATAACGATTGTATGTGTGTGTGTGTTGCAATGTTTATTCGACTAAAACCAAAAACTCATTTTTCGTTTAGATTTCCATTTTGTTGCTGTTGTTGTACTTATTTATTATTTTTTCCTATTGCTGTTATATTGTGCGATAACAAATGTTTTCTAAGCCACTTCAATTTTCGATTATTTACTGTTATTTTTAGGATCCCACTTCTAAACATCTCCCTAGCTCTCCCACCTTGTTCCTGCCATAGTAAAATGTGTATAATCTCCTGCATTCCTCATTGCGACCCCAGAATAGTGTGGTATTTCACCACTAAAGTTCATTTAGTTTTCCAAACCGTCATGGTTTTTTAGGTTTCCAAACAAATACATATTGGTTTTTTATCCGTGTGAGTGTGTCTGTGTAAAATATTTTTTTGCAAATTTTATGCTTTTATGACTCGTTGATTTAGTGAGTTTTGTGTTTATAGTTTTTTTTTCGACGATTTTATTGTTCGTTTGGGGTTCTTTGAGTTGCATTAATTTACTGTTGCAATTTGTTTGTTTAGTCCTTCTCATGGAGGGGGTACAGATAGAGTTATTTGTAATAGGATGAAATTTAATGATCATAAACTTTTTTGTACGAAAATTCAAATTAACGACGAATATTTTTCAAAGAAAAATTTTCCATAGCACTTATTTACAGTAGATTATTTTATCGATAGGAACTAGACTAGACTATAGACTAGACAAAACTATAGAATAAACTATAGACTAGAATATACACTAAACGATAGACTAGACTATAGAATAAACTATAGACTAAACTATAGAATAAACTATAGACTAGACTATAGAATAGACTATAGAATAGACTATAGACTAGACTATAGACTAGACTATAGACTAGACTATAGACTAGACTATAGACTAGACTAGACTATAGGCTAGACTATAGACTAGACTATAGACTAGACTATAGACTAGACTATAGACTAGACTATAGACTAGACTATAGACTAGGCTATAGACTAGACTATAGACTAGACTATAGACTAGACTATAGACTAGACTATAGACTAGACTATAGACTAGACTATAGACTAGACTATAGACTAGACTATAGACTAGACTATAGACTAGACTATAGACTAGACTAAAGACTAGACTATAGACTAGACTATAGACTAGACTATAGACTAGACTATAAACTAGACTATAGACTAGACTATAAACTAGACTATAGACTAGACTATAGACTAGACTATAGACTAGACTATAGACTAGACTATAGACTAGACTATAGACTAGACTATAGACTAGACTATAGACTAGACTATAGACTAGACTATAGACTAGACTATAGACTAGACTATAGACTAGACTATAGACTAGACTATAGACTAGACTATAGACTAGACTATAGACTAGACTATAGACTAGACTATAGACTAGACTAGACTATAGACTAGACTATAGACTAGACTATAGACTAGACTATAGACTAGACACTATAGACTAGACTATAGACTAGACTATAGACTAGACTATAGACTAGACTATAGACTAGACTATAGACTAGACTATAGACTAGACTATAGACTAGACTATAGACTAGACTATAGACTAGACTATAGACTAGACTATAGACTAGACTATAGACTAGACTATAGACTAGACTATAGACTAGACTATAGACTAGACTATAGACTAGACTATAGACTAGACTATAGACTAGACTATAGACTAGACTATAGACTAGACTATAGACTAGACTATAGACTAGACTATAGACTAGACTATAGACTAGACTATAGACTAGACTATAGACTAGACTATAGACTAGACTATAGACTAGACTATAGACTAGACTATAGACTAGACTATAGACTAGACTACAGACTAGACTATAGACTAGACTATAGACTAGACTATAGACTAGACTATAGACTAGACTATAGACTAGACTATAGACTAGACTATAGACTAGACTATAGACTAGACTATAGACTAGACTATAGACTAGACTATAGACTAGACTATAGACTAGACTATAGACTAGACTATAGACTAGACTATAGACTAGACTATAGACTAGACTATAGACTAGACTATAGACTAGACTATAGACTAGACTATAGACTAGACTATAGACTAGACTATAGACTAGACTATAGACTAGACTATAGACTAGACTAAGACTAGACTATAGACTAGACTATAGACTAGACTATAGACTAGACTATAGACTAGACTATAGACTAGACTATAGACTAGACTATAGACTAGACTATAGACTAGACTATAGACTAGACTATAGACTAGACTATAGACTAGACTATAGACAAGACTATAGACTAGACTATAGACTAGACTATAGACTAGACTATAGACTAGACTATAGACTAGACTATAGACTAGACTATAGACTAGACTATAGACTAGACTATAGACTAGACTATAGACTAGACTATAGACTAGACTATAGACTAGACTATAGACTAGACTATAGACTAGACTATAGACTAGACTATAGACTAGACTATAGACTAGACTATAGACTAGACTATAGACTAGACTATAGACTAGACTATAGACTAGACTATAGACTAGACTATAGACTAGACTATAGACTAGACTATAGACTAGACTATAGACTAGACTATAGACTAGACTATAGACTAGACTATAGACTAGACTATAGACTAGACTATAGACTAGACTATAGACTAGACTATAGACTAGACTATAGACTAGACTATAGACTAGACTATAGACTAGACTATAGACTAGACTATAGACTAGACTATAGACTAGACTATAGACTAGACTATAGACTAGACTATAGACTAGACTATAGACTAGACTAGACTAGACTATAGACTAGACTATAGACTAGACTATAGACAGACTATAGACTAGACTATAGACTAGACTATAGACTAGACTATAGACTAGACTATAGACTAGACTATAGACTAGACTATAGACTAGACTATAGACTAGACTATAGACTAGACTATAGACTAGACTATAGACTAGACTATAGACTAGACTATAGACTAGACTATAGACTAGACTATAGACTAGACTATAGACTAGACTATAGACTAGACTATAGACTAGACTATAGACTAGACTATAGACTAGACTATAGACTAGACTATAGACTAGACTATAGACTAGACTATAGACTAGACTATAGACTAGACTATAGACTAGACTATAGACTAGACTATAGACTAGACTATAGACTAGACTATAGACTAGACTATAGACTAGACTATAGTCTAGACTATAGACTAGACTATAGACTAGACTATAGACTAGACTATAGACTAGACTATAGACTAGACTATAGACTAGACTATAGACTAGACTATAGACTAGACTATAGACTAGACTATAGACTAGACTATAGACTAGACTATAGACTAGACTATAGACTAGACTATAGACTAGACTATAGACTAGACTATAGACTAGACTATAGACTAGACTATAGACTAGACTATAGACTAGACTATAGACTAGACTATAGACTAGACTATAGTCTAGACTAAAGACTAGACTATAGACTAGACTATAGACTAGACTATAGACTAGACTATAGACTAGACTATAGTCTAGACTATAGACTAGACTATAGACTAGACTATAGTCTAGACTATAGACTAGACTATAGACTAGACTATAGACTAGACTATAGACTAGACTATAGACTAGACTATAGTCTAGACTATAGACTAGACTATAGACTAGACTATAGTCTAGACTATAGACTAGACTATAGACTAGACTATAGTCTAGACTATAGACTAGACTATAGACTAGACTATAGACTAGACTATAGACTAGACTATAGACTAGACTATGGACTAGATTATAGACTAGACTATAGTCGCTGTAAACAATAGACTAAAACTAGTACAGGAAATTTATAAAACTTTCAATCGCTGTAGGAATTTTTGGATTGTTGTACATTTCTATAGAAAAAAATCGATAACTTTACTTATCTATAGAAATGTTATCGATAACTTTACTTTTCCATAGAAATATTATCGATTGCTGAACTTTTGTATAGAAATGTTAACGATAACTTTACTTATCGTTAGAAAATTCATCAATTATTGTACTTTTTAATAGAAAAGATATCGATTGTTGAATTTTTCTATAGAAAAGTTATTAATTACTTAAGTTTTCGATAAAAGTTTGCCGATAACTTCAATTTTCTTTTGGTATACTATCGATAACTTTCCCTTAAAACTATTTCAAAAGTTATTACCACTTTACCTAACCACTTGCCTAGCAAAAAAATTTCTCATAAATTAAGTGCATATTTTAAACAACATTTTTTTCACAAATAATTTTCAAAACAACATTTTCACTTTTATGCTGATAATTTATTGAAACAAATTCACACTCAATATGTTTAAGGTATTTCAACGATAATTTTCAAATATTTTTTTGCTCTTCGATTAAACACTGTTGTTGTTTTTAGTTTACCAGCTGTAGTTGTAATCGCATGCGCATAAATTGTTTTCTTTAACAAACATTTTGCGTGTATTGAACAGCAAAGTGAAACAACACACAGATACAAAATTTACTGACAATTTCACTCTCGTTGAGATACGGAGAGACTGGCAAACTGATCTAGGGAGAAAAAAATAAATTCGCCGTAATAAACCTGCGCATTTCACGAAACAGCTGATTGTAGAAGAGCTGCGGGTGATTTTGAGAATGTGTATTTTTCAATTCGCTGTAAATAATATAAACAATAATATTATTAAGTAAATAAAATAATATAAATAATTTTGGCTAATAGCCACAGCAGCGAAAGCCACATTTTAATTAAAGATCAATCAGTTTGTTACGAGACGTTAAAAACAAACGATCGTTAAACAATGAACGCAAAATAATCAAAGATATTAAAACAGAAATAAAAACAAAACAAACAGATGAATAAATAGAGTAAAAAAAATACGTGTGTTTTGGATAACAAATTTAAAAAAAAAGCGAAATGTTTATTAATAACGCAACTGCGAATAATATATTGCAATTATTGTGAACAGATAAATAAATTAATAAATGTGTTTTAATGTTAAAACAAAACCAGTGCAAATGTACTAAAATTATTACAAAAAAAAGATATTTTTTAATTAAAGATAAAAACCTCAAAAGAAAAAAACGCTTGATTAAAATAATAGCGATTTTTTAAGCGCTGTTTGCAAAAAGAGCTGGTGAAAATAAATAAAATGCTTTAAGTGTGTTTTGTTGTTTATTTATATAAACAATAAATTTGTTTTTCACTACTAACGGTAATAATTGTTATTGTTTTTTCATTAAATTTACAACTTTTTCCTTTACAATTTGTCGGTTGTTTAATTTTTTTGCGTATTTATATCGTTATTGTCAACAACTTGTTTATAAAAATTTAAATTGATTTGATTCGAAAAAACAAAAACTAAAACAATTTTGAAATTATTGAAAACAAAATCGTTACAGGTCTTGTTGTTTTGTGCAATGACATAAATAGAAATGGAATGAAATGAAATCATGAATTTCAATTAATAACAAACGTTGCATGTATTAAATGCAACACGTGATTAACCCAGCAAACATATTAAACAACATAAACAATATCCATAACTAAACCAGTAAGCATACTAATAGACAATTGCTAAATATCATAAAACACTTTTTATAAACAATTTTTACCCAATTTCCCGCCCCCTCTTATGTTTGCTGGGCATCTATTTGTTATGATTTCCAACGCAATCTCATTTTTCCCATTATGATCATCATCATCATCAGATGTCAATGTACACAATGAATTTAACGAAACAAAAAACTAACTTTATAATGATCGGTTATTGTCTTACAAGTTTTTTCTTTTTTTATTACAACAAAACTTCAACAATAAATTTAAAGACAAATTCAATATCAATTGTAAAGAAATAGTTGTTATATCAGATTTCAATTGATTTTCTCTTAGACATCACAAAAGAAAAGACAACAATAATTTGTTGTCAAGTCATTTATTAGTTCAAAATTTGCCAAAGAAAAAATGTGCACATTTCTTTAAAAGAAATTTTTCAATAAATTGTCAGCATTGGTCGGGGGTTTTCTATTTAAATTAAACAGATGTTCAGCATATTTTTTAAATAAATTAATAACAATCTCTTTTTTTTTTTTTTGTATAAAAATGATCTGTGATCTTTCTATAGAAAACAAATCGATGATGATCTTTCTATAGAAACAAAGAGATCGCTTATCTTTCCCAAGAAGAGGTCTATAATATTTCTTAAAGATCAACGGTCTTTATATAGAAAAAGATCGATGATCTTTCTCTAGAAAAGATCGATGATCTTCCTTATAGAAATCTAATAAAAGAAATCAGTTTTCTTTCTTATAAGAGATATCAATACCCTTTCTTATAATATAGATAGATCATAGATAATATTTCTTAGAGATCGAAGGATTTTTATATAGAAAATATCGATGATCTTTCATATAAAAGTAATCGATGATCTTTCCTATAGAAGATATCGATAATCTTTAATATGGAAGATATTGATAATCTTTCCGTTACGTTATCTCTTTTCTACAGAAAAGATCGATGATGTTTCTTATAAGATACATCCATAATATTTCTAAGAGATCGATGAACTTTTATATAGAAAAGATCGATGATCTTTCATATAATAGTAATCGATGATCTTCCTATATTAGAGATCGATAATCTTTAATATGAAAGATATCGATAATCTTTCCTATGGAAAGAGATCGATGATCTTTCCATTACGTTACGTTATCTCTTCTCTAAAGAAGAGAACAATAATCTTTCTTAGAGATCGACAGTGTTTCATATATAGAAAAGATCGATGATCGTTCTTAAAAGACAGATCGATAATCTTTCTTAAAGATCGATGGACTTTTATATAGAAAATATCGATTATATTTTCTATAGAAGAGGCGATGATCTTTCCTATATATAAGAGATCGATGATCTTTCTTAAAGAAGAGATCGATGATCTTTCCTATAGAAGAAATCGACGACTTTTCTATGGACTTCGATAATCTTTTCTTATAGAAAGTCTTTCCGTTACGTTATTTCTTTCCTGTGGAAGAGGTGGTTGATCTTTTTTCAAAAAAAGTTATCGATTGAAATAAATGTGATCGATAACTACTATATACCGATAACTTTTCTATAGAAAGTAAGTTATCGATAACTTTTCTATAGAAAAGTAAAGTTATCGATAACTTTTCTATAGAAAAGCAAAGTTATCGATAACTTTTCTATAGAAAAGCAAAGTTATCGATAACTTTTCTATAGAAAAGTAAAGTTATCGATAACTTTTCTATAAAAAAGTAAAGTGATCGATAACTTTCTATAGAAAGGTAAAGTTATCGATAACTTTTCTATAGAAAGGTAAAGTTATCGATAACTTTTCTATAGAAAGGTAAAGTTATCGATAAATTTTCTATAGAAAAGTAAAGTTATCGATAACTTTTCTATAGAAAAAGTAAAGTTATCGATAACTTTTCTATAGAAAAGTAAAGTTATCGATAACTTTTCTATAGAAAAGTAAAGTTATCGATAGCTTTTCTATAGAAAAGTAAAGTAATCGATAGCTTTTCTATAGAAAAGTAAAGTAATCGATAACTTTTCTATAGAAAAGTAAAGTTATCGATAACTTTTCTATAGAAAAGTAAAGTTATCGATAACTTTTCTATAGAAAAGTAAAGTTATCCATAACTTTTCTATAGAAAAGTAAGTTATCGATAACTTTTCTATAGAAAAGTAAAGTTATCGATAACTTTTCTATAGAAAAGTAAAGTTATCGATAACTTTTCTATAGAAAAGTAAAGTTATCGATAACTTTTCTATAGAAAAGTTAAGTTATCGATAACTTTTCTATAGAAAGGTGAAGTAATCGATAATTTTTCTATAGAAAGGTGAAGTAATCGATAATTTTTCTATAGAAAAGTAAAGTTATCGATAACTTTTCCATAGAATAGTCAAGTTATCGATAACTTTTGTATAGAAAAGTCAAATTTTCTATACAAAATACAAGTTATCGATAATTTTTCTTTAGAAAAGTAAAGTTATAGAAAAGTAAGGCAATCGATAACTTATCTATAGAAAAGCATAGACTTTTTTATAAACAAAAACATTGACAATGACCTAAAATTGTTATAAATGCAAACGTGTGCCCATTTAAAACCAACTTATGGTTTTTCTCAAGGACATTTGTAAGGTGTGAAAATCAGATTAAAAGTAAAAAAAGCTATTAATTGAAGTTTTATTAATCTGACGATTTTGATTATCAAAAAAGCAGTTAATGTTCATTAAGTTTGTTAAAACAGTTCTTTCATTCTTACAGTTGTTTATTTGTTTACATAATGTTTTTATTTGTATATTTATTGACTCATACAAACATAATTTTCATTTTAAAAGGAATTTTTTCTTCTTCTTCTTAAAACAACGAACTCAATTGTGCTTCAAAAACTGAGAAATTTTGCCAAATTTTGTATATTGGTTATTTCAGAAGTGTGAAAATACAAATGTGTTGTTCAATTTATTTTATTTGTAAAATAAATAAAACAAAAAAAAAATACAAAATAAAATTTTTAAAAGAAAACATTAACATTTACTCAATAATTAATACCCACCAACCAACCAACAAACAACCGACCACATTCGTTAATTGCATTATACAAAAAGTGTAATATGTATGTAAATTTAAATTGTATTTTAATGTTAACGAGGGTGGTTAGAGAAGTGATTTTGTAATAATTTTATTGATTCTTTTTTTAAATAATTATTTGTTAAAGTTTTTAAAGATAAAAAGTTAAAAACATTCAGAAATGAAGATCTATGATATTTTTATGAAAGTAATCGATAAAACTTTCTTAAAATACATTAACGATCTTTCTATACGAAAAAAGCGATGATCTCTCTGTAAGAAATATTTAATATATTTTCTATCTAAAAACAAGATGGCGTATCCTTTTATTGACAATATCAAGATTTTTTTAACAAGATCGAAGTTCTTTTTCAATGATCTTTATAGAAAACAACGAAACTTATTAATGATCTTACTATAGTAATGGTCGGAGATCAATCATTCTTTTATTGTAGATAAGAACAATGAACTTTATATAGAAAATATCTAGTATGTTTCCTTTATTAAAGATCTTTCTGAAGACAAGATTGTGAATCTTTTTATAGATAATATCAAGGATTTTTGTATAGAAGATTGAAAATCTGTTAAAGAAAATGAACAATGATCTTTATTAAAAGCATCGACGAGCATTCCGAAATAATTAATGATCTTAATATAAAGGGGATCGGGGCACCTTTTATTAAAGTAATCGATGATCTTTCAACAATAATATTGATGATCTTTTTGTAGAAAAGATCGATGATCTTCCTATAGATCTTTTTATAGAAAAGATCTTTGATCTTTCTGTGGAAAATTTCGATGATTTTTCTGTGGAAAATATCGATGATCTTTCTGTCGATGATCAGTGATCTTACGAGATAGAAAGGATCAATGTTATATTATTATTATTATTATTATTATTATTATATTATTATTATTATTATTATTATTATTATTTTATTTTATTATTATTATTATTATTATTATTATCATTTTATTATTATTATTATTATTATTATTATTATTATTATTATTATTATTATTATTATTTTATTATTATTATTATTTTATTATTATTATTATTGAATAGATCGATAATATTTTATAGAAAATGTCGATGATTTTTTCTATAAAAACTATAGAGGATCTATGATATTTACATTAAAGTGATCGATAGATCATAGAAAACTTTAATGGTATTTCTACATAAAAGTTTGATTATCCTTCTATAGAGTAGATGATCTTTGTTATAGAAAAGAACTGATCAATGGTCTTTCTATAGATTAGATCGATGGTCTTTCTATAGAGAAATCGATGATATTTCCAGAGAAAAGATCGATCGATCTTATATATAGAAATGTTTGATGATCTTTCATATTATCAACATCGCAAAATGATAGATCTATAATTCCTCCTACAGAAAGATTAATAATAAATCGATTATCTTTCTATAGAATCGTTCGATGATCTTTCTATAGAAAAGATCGATGATCTATAGAAAATATCAATAATCTTTCTATAGAAAAGATCGATAATCTTTCCATGATCTATGATACTTCTATAGAAAAGATCGATGATCTTTCTATGGAAAAGATCGATGATCTTCTATAGAAAAGATCGATGATCTTTCCATAAAAAAGATCGATGATCTTTCTATAAAAAGATAAATAATAAACCATATCGATCATCTTTCTATAAAAAAAATCGATCTTTCTATGAAAAAGATCGATAATCTTTCTATGGAATAGATCGATGATCTTTCTATGGAAAAAATTAATGATCTTTCTATAGAAAAGAACGATGATCTTTCTATAGAAAAGATTAATAATAAACCATATCGATCATCTTTTTATAGAAATGATCGATGACCCATCTATGAAAAAGATTGATGATCTATCTATGGAAAAGATCGATGATCTTTCTATAGAAAAGATCGAAGATCTCTCTAAATCGAAAATCTTTCTAGATCGATGATCTATAAAAAGATCGATGATCTTTCTATAGAAAAGATCAACGACCAATGATCTCACTATAGAAACGATCAATGATCATTCTTATTAAAAAGTTCGTTAATCTTTCTATGGATAAGATCTATGATATTTCCCACAGAAAAGATTGATAACAGAACATAACGATTATCATTTCTCAACAGAAAAGATCGATAGTCTTTCTTCAGAAAAGTTTGATAATCTATCTATATAAAGAGTTTGATCGTCTTAATGTGAAAAGATCGTTAGTTTTTCTAAAGAAAAGATCGAATTTTGTATAAAAGAAATGAATGAACTTTCTTTATAAACGATCGATGGTCTTTTTCACTGGATAGTTTCTGTAGATAGTTTCCATCATGATCGTTTAAATGTATATATTTTGCAGGATCTTTCTTGTTACACCTCGTATTAGTTTTCTATATTTTATTTTTGTTTTTTTTTTTTTTTTTTGATTTGTTAACGTATTTGTGAGCATTTAGTTCCTAGATGATCATTATATATACATTTATTTATTATTATTTGTATCTTTGTTTTATTTTTTCATTTTTTTTCTTCTTTTCAATACATTTATTAAAAGTACGAATAAAATAGAAAAATTCATTGCAAATTGTAAAGAAAAAAATCACACACGTTTGCCAGCATTCAGTTGAAAATGTTCTAATTAACGTTTAACATGCAACGGTGAATAAAAAGAGAAAAAAATTAATAGAAAAAAAGTATTTTATATAAATTAATAATAAATGTGATAAAAAATTTAATAAATAAAAATCAAGTTAACACTTTCCACAAAAAAAAACAACTCTAAGTACATACTTAGACCAAAAGCAAAAAAGCCAAACATTTTAAAGTTAATTTAAATATTTGTATTAATCTTCAAGGTGATAATCGTCTGCTTAAATAATAAACAAAAACAAAAAATAAATAAATTGTATTTGATTTAGACCAACAAATTAAATATAAATAAAAAAAGAATTTTTAATTAAAAAAACTTAAAAATTAAAGCAGAGAATAATACAAAATTTATTAAACGCAATCTTATCTTTTACATTAAAATATGAAAATAAATTCTTTAAAAATAAAAGAAAAATTTCTTTAAATGAAAAAGTTTATTATATAATTAAGTGATTATGTATATGTGATATTTAAAAAAAGAAAACCCTCTCAAACTAAAAATATTTTATAAAAAAAATCTAAACCCCCAAAAAGTGAGTTTACTTTGTACAAATTTTATTTGTTTTTGCAAATCAAACAAAAAAAAAAATATTATATTTTAAACTTAAGTTTAATCGTAAATTACAAAAATGTTCACTGTTCCCTGTCATCGTGATACAATTTTGACAACATCGCTTAGCGATGCCTCCGTTTTATCGAAAAGTCGTGCCGTATGTATAATCGATGCAAAATTTTGTTTAATTTTTAAAAAGTTAAAAGTGTTTTTTTTCTGCTAATTTGTTGGCATGTTTGTTCAAGTTTATGCATGTTGAATTTTATACAAAAAAAAATTTGTTGAAAATTACTGTAAATGCTGTAATTTTAAATAATATTCCCGGATTTTGTTTTGTTAAAATAGGATATTAACTTTTAATGAATATTTTTTCAACTGAATTTTGATTTAAAAATTTGAAGAATCCCAAATTCACTTGAAAATAGAAGGTATAATGAGATTTTTAGTGAAAATTTAGGTTTTCTGTGAAAATTCGAATTAAGAATCCAGTCGAGTCTACAGTCATTCTATGATTTAGTCCATAGTCCAGACTATAGGGCAATCCATAGGCCACACTATAGTCCAGTCTGAAGGTCAGAATATAGTATAGTCTAGTCTATAGTCTAGTCTAGTATATAGTCTAGTCTATAGTCTAGTCTATAGTCTAGTCTATAGTCTAGTCTATAGTCTAGTCTATAGTCTAGTCTATAGTCTAGTCTATAGTCTAGTCTATAGTCTAGTCTATAGTCTAGTCTATAGTCTAGTCTATAGTCTAGTCTATAGTCTAGTCTATAGTCTAGTCTATAGTCTAGTCTATAGTCTAGTCTATAGTCTAGTCTATAGTCTAGTCTATAGTCTAGTCTATAGTCTAGTCTATAGTCTAGTCTATAGTCTAGTCTATAGTCTAGTCTATAGTCTAGTCTATAGTCTAGTCTATAGTCTAGTCTATAGTCTAGTCTATAGTCTAGTCTATAGTCTAGTCTATAGTCTAGTCTATAGTCTAGTCTATAGTCTAGTCTATAGTCTAGTCTATAGTCTAGTCTATAGTCTAGTCTATAGTCTAGTCTATAGTCTAGTCTATAGTCTAGTCTATAGTCTAGTCTATAGTCTATTCTATATTCTAGTCTATAGTCTAGTCTATAGTCTAGTCTATAGTCTAGTCCATAGTCTAGTCTATAGTCTAGTCTATAGTCTAGTCTATAGTCTAGTCTATAGTCTAGTCTATAGTCTAGTCTATAGTCTAGTCTATAGTCTAGTCTATAGTCTAGTCTATAATAGTCTATAATATAGTCTATAGTCTAGTCTATAGTCTAGTCTATAGTCTAGTCTATAGTCTAGTCTATAGTCTAGTCTATAGTCTAGTCTATAGTCTAGTCTATAGTCTAGTCTATAGTCTAGTCTATAGTCTAGTCTATAGTCTAGTCTATAGTCTAGTCTATAGTCTAGTCTATAGTCTAGTCTATAGTCTAGTCTATAGTCTAGTCTATAGTCTAGTCTAGTCTAGTCTATAGTATAGTCTATAGTCTAGTCTATAGTCTATAGTCTAGTCTATAGTCTAGTCTATAGTCTATAGTCTAGTCTATAGTCTAGTCTATAGTCTAGTCTATAGTCTAGTCTATAGTCTAGTCTATAGTCTAGTCTATAGTCTAGTCTATAGTCTAGTCTATAGTCTAGTCTATAGTCTAGTCTATAGTCTAGTCTATAGTCTAGTCTATAGTCTAGTCTATAGTCTAGTCTATAGTCTAGTCTATAGTCTAGTCTATAGTCTAGTCTATAGTCTAGTCTATAGTCTAGTCTATAGTCTAGTCTAGTCTATAGTCTAATCTACAGAAATCCAATTTAATTTCTAGTAATTTTCTAAATTTAAGTAAGAATAGATTTCAATTCCACCAAATTTTCGGATTATTTTGATATTTTATTCAAATCCTAACCGTTACTCTATGTAAGATCAAATGCTTGCTGTATAATAAAATTGGGAATTTACAAGCAAAAATCCCCAAAATCTTCTTAACCTTTAATGCTAATAATCTTAATTTGAATAATTCATTTTTTCCAAACTTTTTCTCTTTTCAAAATATCTTTAAATAATTATACACGTTTTGTTATTTCAAATTTGTAAGAATATTAAACAAACGTGATTATATTATTTTGC